CTGCCACTCACACTCTGACTCTCTCTCAAAAATAAACAAACATTAAAAAAAAATTTTTTTTAAAGCAACATAAGTGATCAATATATGAAAAATACTTTAATTTCTCAAATAATCAAACAACTAAACATTAAGATATCATTTTTGTCCCCCCAATGGATAAATTTTTATTATGCCCTATTCATCACATTAAACTGGCAATCCTATTAAATAAAATCACCACATAATGCAAATGATGTACAAATTCATAAAGTAAAAGGTCAATGTTCCTGCACCTAAACTCCACTACCAACCACTTGGTGTTCATCCCTTCTTGTATTTTTTTCTTCTTTTTAAAGGTTTTACATATATGAAAAATAGAGAAAACTGTAAAAACAAAGTAAAACGTGTCCATAATTGCATGCTTTTTCACAGGATGTATATAAAACAAAAAGTGATAATCCTAACACCATCCTTTACTCTAATCTCACTTGACTCAACATATTCCTGATCTCCTTCAGGGATCTCTGGTCCTCCTGCCCTACAATTTTCTAGGTATATATATATATTATAAATTATCCTTTCATAAAGATCTTAATTACTTATAAAAATGAGAACATATTGTACATCCTTGTAAGTAAATATATAGAGATAAGCAAAGGTTTGTTTTGCTTTAATGATAATACCTTCTGGTTAGGGCAAGAGTGCTGGAAAAGTGGCATTCTACACTGATTTCAAGTGATGGTAGAAATACATTTTGTCTACCTTCTGGAGGCCAAGTTGGCAATATGTAAGAATAGCCTTCAAAATATTTCTAAGCTTTGATTCAGTAATTTCATTCCTAGAGATTTATCATTAGGAAATTATTAAATATTTATAATGTATACACATTTATGCTTATATGTATTTATATTTGAGGATGCTTATCATTAAATTTCTAACAACAGAGCAATCTGTAAATATATTATGCCAATATCCTTATGCTAGATCATCAGGCAACCAATTAAAGACCATGTATTTTGAACAGATTGTTTAATATGAGACATGCTCGGGGCGCCTGGGTGGCGCAGTCGGTTAAGCGTCCGACTTCAGCCAGGTCACGATCTCGCAGTCCGTGAGTTCGAGCCCCGCGTCGGGCTCTGGGCTGATGGCTCAGAGCCTGGAGCCTGTTTCCGATTCTGTGTCTCCCTCTCTCTCTGCCCCTCCCCCATTCATGCTCTGTCTCTCTCTGTCCCAAAAAATAAATAAACGTTGAAAAAAAAAATTTAAAAAAAAAAAATATGAGACATGCTCAATATAATAATGGTAGATGAAAAATACAGAAAACAAAATTACATAATGTGAGAAATTTAAAGCAAATAAACTAGTTACATATATCATTACAAAATTACATAATGTGAGAACTTTCAAGCAAATAAACTAATTACATATATCACTGTGAATGCATTTTTAAAACTTAATGCTCAGTTAAAACAAAACATGTAATAAAAGATTATATACAGTATGATTCAATTTACATAAAGGTCAAAAACAGGCAAAACAAAAAATACATTCTTTTTTTATTTAAGTTTTTATTTATTTTGAGAGAGCAAAAGAGAGAGGGGGCATGTAGGGAGAAGCAGAGAGAGAGGGAGAGAGAGAGAATCCCAAGCAGGCTCTGCACTGTCAGCACAGAGCCAAATGAGGAGCTTGAACTCACAAACTGTGAGATCATGACCTGAGCCAAAGTCGGATACTTAACCAACTGACTCCCCCAGGCCCTCTCAAGACTATAAATACATACATATATTACATAAAAATCTTTAATAAGGAGGGACTAGGAAATAATGCCCAATAACTTGCTAGTAGCTTTTCATGTGCTTTATAAGCAGTAAACAACTATAAAAAGAGAGGGAGCAAATAATAGTTGGCTCCAGACCTGGAGAGAGTGCTTCATGCGGGCTGCTGTCTGTCACTGGGGTTCTGGAACCTAGGTGACTCTAGGGAGTTCAATTTAAAATTACTTTCAAAGACCATATGAGGAGTGTCATTAAAAGAAAATTCACTTATTTGTACCATGAGAAAAATAATTTGTACCACCAGAAAAATAAAAACTTTTACAAGAAAATCCAAATTGATCTTACATGGCTCCAGTTTTGAAGATAGGGCAAGTATATTCTGCCTTGAGCATCCACATGTTTTCCAACTGAGACACCCATATTTGCAGTTGGCTTTAAGAAGCAAATGGGGGGAGCAAAAGGGTGGGAATCCAAGATCCACAAACGAATTGGTATGTTGTATGTATTACCTATTTGAGACAAAATAAACACATCTTCAAATAATGATGAAGCATATACATTATATTTATGGTACAGCTAGGTGGCATCTTAAGACCTGTAGTCAAGTGCATATATAAAGAATTTACATAAATCGAGGCCTACTTCTCCATTTTCATGTTCCCATTAAAGCACCAGCATAACATCTGAAGAAATTTAATTAAGACAACGGCCAGCTCATCCAATTCAATTCAATAATATTTACAGGACCTATTGTACCAGGAGTCTGGGATACAGTATCTTCTCTATGTAACCTCTTTGCCCCACCCAAGCAGAGCTATTGTACCTTTCTTTAAAGGTAGTGGACACTTTTATTTTTATACTTATTCTGCATTGAAGTTACTTGCCTGCAGATCTGTGTCTCCTTTTACACAGTAAACTTCCAGAGGGTTAGGTATTATTCATTTCTATTTTCCCCACACCAAGTATAGAGCCCAACATACTGATTGCTCAATAAAGGTTTCCTATATGCATAAGAATAAGTGAATGAATAAACACATGAAAAATTAATGAATTAACAAAGACGAATTGGATACATTTGATACTGACCCGCAAATTACTCACTAACCGTCATCAAGCTGGGTTAGATCACAGAACTTAGAGCTGAAAAGAACCTTAAGCATCACCTTGCCCAGCGTACTGAGAGACAGGAACTTGAGTGCATGATCTTCCAACCACACACGTGTAATGTCATGACTACTGAGAGCCAAAATCTCTGACGGCTCTGGTTGCCAGGAAGCCCAAATCTACGACCTAATGAAAGTGTAAAAACTAAACTTAAACTAGAAATCTGATCAACTCCATTAGCTGTATCTATTGTATCTCCTGATGGTCAATTCCTGCACTCACAGTCTGACTGCATGTCTTTCACTATACTTACAAACATGGCTGCTCGGGACCAAGAATGCCTACGTTTAAATCCTAGTTTCACCCACGACTACCAGCTGTATGATTTTAGGCCAGTTATTTAACTTGTCTGTGCCTCAATTCCTTCCTCTATAAAATGGAAATAGTAATAATAGCTCCTACCCCATAGGGTTGTTGTAAGGATGAAATTAGTTGAGGTATGTAAGATGCTTAGAACAGTACATCATATGGTAAGTACCATGAAGGGTTGGCAATTTTTGCAATTTACTTCAAACCCATGTTGAAGGTTTAACTATAGGGCAGGTATAAATAAAAAAGTATTGTTTTCTACTGAAATCTTTTTCTTGCTAAGAAAATCATCCTTCCACTGACAGCTACTTTTCTCATCTTGTTTCTTCCTCTAAGGATACAACAATACTCAACCCTGTATGCACATTAGAAACACTCAAGAAACTTGGAAACATACCAATACCTATGCCACTCTCCCAGTTTCTGATCCAATGGGATGGGGTATGGACAACATTTTTTAAAAGCTTCCCATGTAATGCTAATGTGCAACTAAGATTGCAAATCAGTATTATAGAAATGTCCTAATACTTGTGGGTCTATTATTTTATATCAGCAGTACTGAGAACACTCCTCTTCTATTTTCGTCTAAGTATTAAAAAAATTTTCTTGAGATATAACTGACATATAACATAACAGTTTCACCATACAACATAATGATTTGATATTTGTACATATTGCAAGATGATCACTACAATAAGTCTAGTTAACATCTGTCACCATAGTGTCTAAGTATTTACTATTTGGCTATCAGCATAGCTACTGATCCATAGATAATTCTGATTATAAAGTCATGTGACTGTAGCACCACAAAGTGACTGACAGGTACTGAGACACCATCAAATTTCTCCAAAAGCAGTTATTCTGTCTAACATTACATACTCTCTAGAGAGTGTTTTTCAAATAGTGGTCGCAATAAATGGGTCACAAAATTAATTTAGTGGGCTGCAAGCAATATTTTCAAATGGAATTGAAAAGAAAATAGAATACATGACAGGTATTATGGTGTTTCTTTTTTTCTAATTTACTTTTGAGAGAGAGAGAAAGAGAGATAGGGAGAGGGAGAATCCCAAGCAGGCTCCACATGGTCAGTGCAGAGCCCAATGTGTGGCTCAAACCCGCAAACTGAGATAGTGACCTGAGCTGAAATCGAGAGTCAGATGCTTAAACGACTGAGCCACCCAGGCACCCCTGGCAGTTTCATATATTAATGTACATGTGTACATTACATGTACATATAATGCACATGTACTCACATGTACACATATGAGTGCGTGCACATGCATGTGTGCTAGCTGTGTCTGTAAAAGTACAGTATTTCTTATTGTGGGTCACAGTCAAGACATTTGAAAGCCACTGTTCTAGGCCATGCAAATTTTCTTGTTACATAATATAGCTGGAGTAGCCAAATCTCCATGGTGTCGCTTTCTGTGTTAAGTACCACACATTAAAGAAAAGGAAAGAAATGTCTATTGATGGTATCTTCCTAGTTGATTAAGGATCTGCTGCCCCCATCAATGCTCTTCCCCAGCAGCATTCATGCATTTTACTAGCCCATGCCTGGCAAAGCAACTGGTGAGCCTGATTCCCATGTCCAACTGGTAAGATTTCACTACTGGTGTTCTGCTCTCTTCTTCCTTTCTTCTTTCCCATTCTTTTCTGTCAGCCACTGCCCTGCCTCATTCCCTGCCCACTTAGCTTTCGGGAATTCATTACCAAAGAGTCAGAAATCCTGGTAGAGTCCTCAGATCTGAAGTAATTATATCATAAAAATATAATTTAAGTTAGCTGTAAATAAAATTCAGATGGGTATCACTTATTAAGATGATACACATCTCTCAAGTACAGTGGATGAATAAAAAGCGTCATCATAACCTTCACACAATCTTGGAGAGATAATAAATGATTCAGAAAATGTCTGCAGATACACATAAGGAAATATCAATGGAAGATTCATCTGGGGAATAGGACTGGGTAGGAGGTTAGTTATAAGCTTAACCTCATCCCTTCTCAATTTTTAAGTTTTTTTTTTTTTTTTAGCACAAGTATGTATTATTATTATACTAATAAAACTAAGAACTGAAAGAAATACAGGATTAAGCATTATGTGCCAGGCACTACGCCAAGAGCTTTACTTATGGTAATCCACTTAATCCTCATAATTCTGGAGTTAGTATCTATTATTGTAACATTTTACAAATTCTGGAGTTAGTATCTATTATTGTAACATTCTGACCTCTGATCAGCAGGAAGTAACTAATATGGATCACAAAGAGTTGATATAATTCTACTCAAAAGCAAAGAAAAAAGAATGTACTGCAAAAAAAAAAAACAAAAACAAAAGGTACTTCGGTACCATTACTACCTTGGAAGATCCAGCTTAAGGATCAATGAAATAACTCCTCGGCTTTAGGAAATGCAGAACGCCAATGAGGGGCATTTTACCAATGATATTAAAATAGGATTTATGCCCTCCTGTTACCCCCTCACACTATCTTTGAAACCGAAATGCTATTAAGCAGTGATTCACTTGATGAGCTCCTCTGTTAATATATAATTACCCTTGACATCACTGGGGTGGGTAAGAATTGGGAATGAAATCAGTCAACCAATCACTGGGGTGGGCAATAATTCTCTCTCTCTCTAACATCTAATCATAATAAATGCAGAACACAAGTAATGGGGAACAGGTCTGAGTAAAGTTTTCTAGGCAGCCAGAAAAGAGTCTGAGAGTTTGGCAGGAGAGGAACAAGAAGGAAAATAAAAATCAATTCTGCAATTTCTGCAGAGCCCAGATCACTGCTCATCTACTTCCATCTCGAACCATATTCTTATGTATAAAAACCAAACTGAGGGGTGCCTGGGTGGCTCAGTCAGTTAAGTGGCCGACTTCGGCTCAGGTCATGACCTCGCAGTCCGTGAGTTCGAGCCCCACGTCAGGCTCTGGGCTGACAGCTCAGAGCCTGGAGCCTGTTTCAGATTCTGTGTCTCCCTGTCTCTGACCCTCCCCCGTTCATGCTCTGTCTCTCTCTGTCTCAAAAATAAATAAACGTTAAAAAAAATTTTTTTTAATAAAAAAAAATAAAAACCAAACTGACTTCTTATGCATTTCCTATGCCAAAGGAGGTGTCATAGTGGGACATAAACAGTGGCAGAATAACACATGAGTGAACCTCACGCAGTGAGTGATCATGGAGGGGCAGAAATTAAGAAGGGTTTGTTAACAGTCTAGGACTACCATAATGAAATACCTACTTTGAAAAAAGTCCCCCAAGATACAGCTCCTTGGTGTCTTTTGGGCAGTGTCTTCCTATAATACAGTGCTGAGTTTTTTGTGAAGGAGCAAATTCCACCATTCTCTCCCCATTTGTTTTCAGGTCCTCCTCATCCCTTTTTAGTTACCTCCTCTCTCAACTGCCCAGCAAATTCATTTATTACTAAGCCCCTTCAGTCAGTAATCAAATAAACTCAACCATGCAACAAATGTTTACCAGGTATTTTCTATAAACACAGCACTATGTATTAGTAATTTGGGATATTAACCCACTTGGGATTATAGACCAGGAATAGGTTTTTAGTGGTAGGATTTCAGACACCCCTTCAGAGACATCTATTAGAACCAAAGCTTCACTGGTTTTCTTCACATCATACCATATAAGCAATCACCTATAATACCTACCTGAAAGGTTAGTCGTCTCGAACACTGATAGAAGTAGGTTTGGACAAATAGGAAGAGTTAAGAATGGGGGAACTAGCGATTTTTTGTTTGTTTGTTTGTTTTTTGGCAAACACTTAGCTATCACTTGATAGCAGGCAGATCACTTGAAAATATGATGCCTTCTTTGAGTTTTAATGGCCCCCAATTTCCTACTGGAGTTTCAAGTTACAGTCTGATACAAGCAGTGTGGTTTTAGGTAAATCGCTTGACTAGGCTAAGACTGAGTTTCACCCATACAATGGGGACATCATACAGAGGGAAACGGAGAGGATCAAAACATTGATGTAATGGAGAAGAAGGTGTGATCCTTGCATTTTGCTATGGAAAGCAAAGAGAACTGTCCATAAAATCAGGCCTGTCTCTGTGTAGGGGCCCAGGGCAGGCTGCCCCAAGATGGGCCACTTTGGCACAAAGATTATTTTGAGTTAAAAGTAATCAAAACTTGGCAGATTCAGGAAAAGCTTTCTTCCTCCCTCTCAACTGCCTAAATTACAATGCGAGGAAGAGCCTGTACCTGGAAGAGAGCTATTAAAAGAGACTCCCCTTTACCTAGAGTTTAGCTGCATAACAGGGCAACCTTTGTTTTTCCAAGTATCTCCTTTCCCTTCTTGCTAGTGGTCTTTCTCCCTTTTGTGTCTGCAGGCCCCTCCCCTCTCCTTAGCTCAGATAAGCTTCATGCTCCCTCACTGTCCTTGGAATCTCAAGTCTGTGTGGATTCCCCACTACGCACACCTACTAAATTTGATTTTCTCCTGTTAACCTGTCTTATGTCAATTTGATTCTAAGTCCAGCTGGAAGGACTACAGGGCAGAGGAAGGTCTTCCTCCCCAACATCTGTCTTACTCTCCTCTGTACCCCAGCACCTAGCAGACTAGTGGGAATATAGTTGATACTCGTTAAGTATTTTTTGAACTGAATTGAATTTGTTGATATTAATCTAGGCCACCTTGAATGGGACAGCATTCAGCTATACGCAATAAGGTTCTGTGTACATTATATGTGAAAATACTTTAGAGAATGTTATGGGACTAAACAAATGTAAGCTCTTGTTAAACTGTTCTTTTACAAAATTCCCACATTTTCTCAACTTCCACACTTACCATGGTACATCACAGGAATAGTGCCAGTGAAATTCAGCAGGTCTTTCTGGGAACTATCTTTGAACACTGGAAGAAAAATAAAAGCCCCAAAATGTACACTCAAAAGTAGAAAAAACTGTATGAAAGTTTACGCACACACAGACCCACATACAGAAGCACACCTAATTTTTAAGGTTCATCATCTAGGCATCTGTAACTATGTTGACAAGGGGAAATTACCACATACTTGGCTTTTCTTAGAAAGCCAAGAGGATAGCTGAAAGCACAGAGGGCTTTGATACAGAAACTCCAGATTCTAGACCTACTTTCCCCACTTAGACACATGCAGCTTTACTGTTGAAGCTGTTACTTGAATCCCTTTGACCTTCAGTTTCATCATCTATAAAATAAAGAAAGCAAGACTACATCATAAAGTGGTCATAAGGATCAAATGTGATAATGTGAAAACATACTTAAGAACTTTAGGACCATAGGGGTGCCTGGGTGGCTTGGCTGGTTGAGCATATGACTTTGGCTTAGGTCATAATCTCGAGGTTCGTGACTTCAAGCCCCACATCAGGCTCGCTGCTTATCAGCACAGAGCCTGCTTCAGATCCTCTATCTCCCTCTCTCTGCCCCTCCCCACTTAAGAGTGCGCTCTCGCTCCTCTCTCTCAAAAATAAACATATATGGCACAAAAACAGACACATAGACCAATGGAATAGAATAGAAACCCCAGAACTAGACCCACAAACGTATGGCCACCTAATCTTTGACAAAGCAGGAAAGAACATCCAATGGAAAAAAGACAGTCTCTTTAACAAATGGTGCTGGGAGAACTGGACAGCAACATGCAGAAGGTTGAAACTAGACCACTTTCTCACACCATTCACAAAAATAAACTCAAAATGGATAAAGGACCTGAATGTGAGACAGGAAACCATCAAAACCTTAGAGGAGAAAGCAGGAAAAGACCTCTCTG